AGTCTGGAAGCTCTGCTGAAACCTGTTCAGCATCATAGCAACATGCAAGCCTCCACTGAAAGATGGTGGGCCTTGTACATGAGGTGCATTGGCTGGGAATCAAAGTCAGGTCTCCTGCATGCTGAATTAGAGGCTGATTTCGAGGTCATAACCAACCCCCTAAGAACCTAAACACTTCCCATCAGGACCACCCGTCAGAAATCTGCTCTGTCCAGCTATGGAATTGACTGGACTAGTTTCACAAATGTCATAGGCTACTCGACTCCATCTAGGAGGACAAGGAAAGGTCTGTTTTCAGACAGCCACCACTCCAGTCAGATATTTTGGATAAAAACATTATCTCCAACAACGTATCCATCTTGTATACACTTTTTTTTCATTTAAAAAAAATTTTTTTATAGTGTTTTAGGTGACAGTTTACAGCGCAAAGTAGTTTTTCATTCAAAAATTTATACACAAATTATTTTATGACATTGGTTATAATCCCCTCAAAGTATCAGCACTCTCCCCCTTTCCCTTTCCACCCTGGGTTCTCCATGTCCATTCATACGGTTTTCCTGTCCCTTCCTGCCTTCTTGTCTTTGTTTTCGGGCAGGTATTGCCCATTTGGTCTTGTATATTTAATTGAACTAAGAAACATGTTCCTCACATGCGTTATTGTTCATTTTATAGGATTGTCTAATATTTGGCTGAAAAGTGGACTTTGGGAGTGGCTTCAGTTCTGAGTTAGTAGGGTGTCCGGGGGCAAACCAGTAAGTTTGGTCTTTTTTTGTGAGTTTGAGTTTGAATTTTCTGCATTTTTCTCCCACTCTGTCTGGAGCCCGGTATGCAATTCCGATCAGAGCTGTCGGTGGTGGTAGCCGGGCACCATCTAGTTCTTCGCAGTTCAGGCTGGTGGAGGCTGTGGTTCCTTTGGACTAATATTTCTCTTGTATCTTTGGTTTTCTTCATTCTTCTTTGCTCTAAACATAATGGTGCCAGTAGATGTATCTCAGAATATATCTTTTTTTTAAAGCTTGACTAAGACAATTAAAAGTGATCAGAGTGGATCACTCTTTATAAGCTGCTTTTGCAGTGGTTAAGACCTCGGCTGCTAACCAAAGGGTGGGCAGCTTGAATCCACCAGCCACTCCTTGGAAACCGTATGGGTTCTACTCTGTTCTATAGGGTTGCTATGATTTGGAATCAACTCGACAGCAACGGGTTTGGTTTGGTTTTTGGTTTTCCTCAGCTCAGCCAGGCCACCAGAACCTTCCATTTCCAACCCATGTCCACTGTCCAGATAAAGAGAGAAGCACTTAGACGCCTCTAGCCAAGCGAAACTGAGTTAAATTCTAGTCTCCCCTGTCTTTCTAGATTCACATCGAAAGTTTCTTGGCAGTAATCTTCACTAGTATCTGTGACAGTATATTACCAGAAAAAAATAAGCTCTTTACTATCCAACATGAGGTCCCTGGGTGGTGCAAACAGTTGGCAGTTTCAATTCTCCCAGCAGCACCATGGAAGAAAGGCCTGGCAATCTGTTTCCCTAATGATTACAGTCAAGAAAACCCTATGGAGCAGTTCTACTCTGGAACATATAGGGTTACCATGAGACGGAATTGACTCAATGGCAACTGGTCAGGTTTGTTTGGCTTGACCATCCAACACAAGCATGTACTTACAGATTCTGTGTGGTGCTGGCTACTTAAAAACTCAGACAGAAAGTAACTTTACACACAGTAGTTAAAATGGCACCGTGGTTCGCTCGTTCAAGGCTTTATGTTATGACTTTTATACTTCAACTCACTCCAATTTTTCCATTTAAACTTCTTTCTGCAGCCACTTCTTGCTCTGTAAATCTTAAAACAGCCTGAGTCAAAAATAGTCTCACTCAAACCTGACAGCTTAAGTGCCCAGCTAAAGATATGTAAGCCTGCTCTGCCTCTGCAAATTCCCCCAGGAAGGAAAAGCTGTTAAGTCTCTAGAATCATCTCTGGGGGCATGAGTGCAGGAGCAAAGAGCCGCAGCAGCATGCTGGGATGTCCATCCACCAATGCCACTTCCCCTGCTCCACTTGGGGTGTCCAGAGCTGTGCGAAGTCAAGTAAATCCAATGACACATTGATTTAAAAGAAAAAAAAACAAAAATCCGTTGCCGTCGAGTTGATTCCAACTCGTGGTAACCCAACCCAATGTGGCACAGAGTAGAACTGCTCCAGAGGGTTCTCTTGGCTGAATTTTTATGGAAGTAGATCACCAGACCTTTCTTTCATAGCGCTGCTGGTGAGTTTGAACCACTGACCTTTAGGTTAGTAGCCAAGTTCAAACCTCTTGTGCCACCCAGGGAATGAACACACTGATAATGGCCCATTAAACACTTCCATGGCCCCTGTACTTGCCGGGCCACTTGCCTGTGAACCATGAGGCCAATGGTCCTTAAGCATAGCTGGTCGTTTGTCCCAAGCCATGGTGACACTTCATGCACAGCCCCCACCAAAATAGACCTAAGTGAAGGAAAAGACACTTGCCCCCAGTCAGGAGGAAATCATGGCTCCTCACTTCTCCCCTGATTGGCAGGAAGGGAGTAGTCTCCACACTTCATGCTCCTGGGAAGTCAATCCTGAAATTCCTGGATCAGTTGGCCCAGGACTCCCTCCCTGGAGTGACAGACACAGTCAGTCCTCCCTACTCCTGAGAGCTTGTCCTGTGTTCCTAAGTCTGAACCAGCTGTGTTATTCATTCATTCATTCAACAAACAAGCATTTGAGAACCTACCACTGTACCAGGCTCTAAACTAGGCACAAAGACTAGAGAGGAGAATGAGACAGAGTTCCCACCTTCAGGCAGCTTTCAGCCTAGTGGAGAGGGATACACAATAAACCCACCTATCAATAAGTAAGTAGTTTCATAAAGTAATAAATGCTATGAAGGAATTAACACAAGGCAGCATGACAGAGAGAAATTGGGTTCAAACTGGGAGGTGGGCAATAGGGGCCACTGCCATCACAGTACTCAGGGAAGATCTCCCTGACAGAGGACATTTGAGCTGAGATGTGATGACAGAAAAGAAGCTAACTAGTCATAGATCATCACGAAGAACATTCCAGAAAGAAGCAGGCAGCAAATGTCAAAGCCCTGTGAAGGGAGAAAGCCTCACCTTGTTAGAAGGACAGAAGAAAGACTGGTAGGATGAAGCAGAGTGAGTGAGAGGGAGAGATTCCAGAGATGGGGTTGAAGGGGTGGGCAGGGACTCATGTGTCAACTTGGGCCTCTTGTGTCAGGGAGGGAAACCACCAGAAGGTTATATGCAGAAAGTGATCAGATTTCTGCTTTACAAAAATCAATCTGGCTGCTGTGAGCAGAATTCAGGAGAATGAAATCTAGGTCACTTGGACTAGAGTAGTAGCCACAGAGACAAAGAGATGGATGGGATTTGGGACATATTCTGCAGGGAGAGCTCCAGGACTCTAGAACAAAGACAGTAGTCCAGTGTCTGTAAGTACTCATTAGTATTCTTGTGTGAGTGGCACACACACACACTATCCTCTTTACACATATAGGGCAAGGTAGTGGCCCAGACTCCAGATTCTGGAGCCAAAATGCCCGGGTTCAAATTCCAACTCATTCACTTGCTGGAGATAAAACTTGGTTCCAGTCACTGAAGCTCTCTGGATCCCAGGCCAGGTTCCCATATGTAAAAGGAGATGACGCAAGGAGCATCCTCCTGTGGTTGCTGTGAGGATACATTGGTTACAAAAGTGAAGCAAGGAATAGAACCTGCAACATAGTATCTGAGCTTGCTTTGGCTGCAGTAGCAAACTACCACAAACAACCCCTTCTATTCGCCTACAGTTCTGGAAGCCAGAAGTCCGAAATTTGTTTCACTGGGCTTACGTCAAGGTGTCAAATGGGCTGGTTTTTTCTGGAGGCTCCAGGGGAGAATCCATTCCTTGTCTTTTCCAGCTCATTCCTTGGCTCCTGGCCACATCACTCCCATCTCTGTTTCCATCCTCACATCACCTTCTCTTTTGACCTTCTTGCCCAACTCTTATAAAGACCCTTGTGATTACATTGAGGACCCACCCTGATCATCCAGGATAATCGCCCTGTCTCATGATCCTTCAATTAATCACAATCCCTTTTGTCATTGTGATGGTTAAGTCTGCGTGTCAACGTGACTGGGCCATGATTCTCAGTGGTTTGACAGTTATGATGTAGTTTGGCAGTGAAGTAATGATGTAATTTGGCAGTTACGTAATGATACAATTAATTCCATGATGAGATCTGCTATGAGCAGCCAATCAGTTGAAAGGGAGTTTCCTTGGGAGTGTGGCCTGCATTCAGTATATAAATGGATGTTCCAGCAAGGCTGTCACTCTGGATCTTGCATCCAGCGTGTCATCATCTGACCTCCGGTTCTTGCGACTTGAGCTAGTAGTTTACCTGCCAGTCTTGGGATTTGTCAGCTTCTACACCCTATGAGCCGGCGGCCTGCCATCTAATCTGCTGATCTTGGGTTCATCAGCCTCTGCAGTACATGAGTCAGGAGACGCCTCCATCTGACACCTGACTTACTGACTTGGGACTTGCTAGCCTCTACAACCATGTGAGCCATTTCCTTGAGATAAATCTCTCTCTGTCTCTCACTCTATCTCTGTCTCCCTCTATATATATGTGTGTGTGTGTTTATGGATATGTATATAAATTATATATATACACTTCACTGGTTTTGCTTCTCTAGAGAACTCAGTCTAAGACAGTCATATACAGTAACATTCACAGGTTCTTGGGATTAGGATGTGGATATCTTTGGAAGGCCATTTTTCAGCCCACTACATGCGGTAACCAATTAGTAAAGGTTACCTGCTATTATTATCATAACTATTATTATTTCCAAGGCAGCCCAGAGCATCCCTGCAGCACCCTCCCAAGCAGTGTGGGAGAGGAGAAGTTGTGCAGAAACTCCTGAGTCTGCCTTGAGCTGGAGCTGGAGCCCAAGCTGCGGGTGACACTGGCTGGATCGGGGCAGAGGTCTCAGTCACCCACTGGTCCTGGTGAGGGGACCGGGGTGAGAAGGCAGAAGAGACAGGAATGTGCACACCATGGTAGGCTCAGGTGAAGTCCCAGAGGAAGCCCTGGAGTAGTGGCTAAAGGTTCCTGATGGAGCTGTATTCTGTGGGCTCCTCGAGGCTCCCCATGGGAATGCAGGCCGTGAGGTGGCTCATGTTGCTGTAGGTTGGCTCCTGATTCAAGATGTCCAAAGATAGAGAAGCATAGGAAATGTCCTCCCTTGGCAAGGGGTCCTACAGTAGAGATGGCCACAGGGTCAGAAAGGTTGGCAGACTCCATGCCCAGGAGATAGAGGAGGCCTTGGATGAGGCTGGGGGACCTCAAGAGTCCAAGACAGACCCTCCAGGGCTTCTGAAATCAAATTCCAAGCCCTCCAGCACCCCCTCCCTACACTCAGCCAAACACCCTGAGCTCTGGTCGTAACAGAAAATCTCTCCCTCCAGTCCGCCACCAGGACAGCACTTTTGGGTAGAATTGCAGGTCCCTCAGCATGTCTGGGTCCTCCTTCCCAGCACTAGGACCATGTATGATTGGTCCTCAAATCCTCAGCACTGAGACCTGGTATATGGACACTTCCAAGAGCCCGGACAGGTCCTCAGGCAAGCCTTTCAGGGCTGTAACTCTCTTGGCTCATCAAAGGGGTACACACTATGAGTACACACCGCTGAGTACACACCACTGAGCACACACCGTGAGTCTACACCACTGAATACATACCACTAGTACACCCACTGAGTACACACCATGAGTACACACTATGAGTATGCGGCATGAGTACACACAACTAAGTACACACCATGAGTACACACCACAGGTACACACCACGAGTACACAACACGAGTGCACACCACTGAGTACACACGAGTACACACCACTGAGTACACACCATAGTGACATATTCTGCTTCCTTCTGGTTGGCTCGGACAGTGGAGGCTGACTTGGCAGAGGCCTTTTTCCAGACGGAAACCAGGGAGGTGCCAGTGTGGTGCAGGGTCATGTGTGCGTAGCAAAGGTCACCCTCCAGGGGCTGGATCACCTGGAAGAGGACACAGGATGAGAGGGGGTGGTCACAAGACTCCCCCTGTGTGGGCACAGGTCGCTCCTCTGCTGAGGACCATGGACCTCTTTACTTCCCTGAGCCCCCTCTCACCCAGTTCCCCGTTGACCCTCACTTCTAAGTCTCCCACTCCCACCCCTCCCAGCACTCCACCCTTCTGGCTGTTGTGAGGCCCCCGCCTCCCAAGCCCCTCTCAGGCGCTGTGGGATATGGAGGCCATGAGGATATGGAAGCTGTTTGGTACATGGTTGGGACCTCTATGCTACCGGAAGACGGGAATGAGGAAGTGGGGGAAGAGCCAGCTGATCTCTCAGTAATCTCTCCTGCTTTGAGGATGTCCCAGCAGCTGAAAGACAAACACAACCCAGAATTAGAAAGCCCATCCCAGTGCAACCCACTGATCAGGTGGCCTTGCCAGCCATTCATTCCTCTGGGATTGAGTTTTCTTCTGCCCAACCCTAGGCTCAGCCTGTAGCTTCTGCCCACAGTTTTGCCCGTAACTCCACCATTTCTCTACTGGATTCATCCTCCAGGAGATAGCTCAGAGTCACACCTTCCTGCCCCAACTATCCAAATGGCACTTGATTTGTTTCTCTTAGTTGCCTTCACCCCACTGAATTCTAGTTTATCTTCAGCGGGCTGTGAGGGGCTGGGTGGCTGGGGCTGCCCTTCCTTGCATCCTGTGGCTTCGATGAGGCTGACACATGGATGCTCAGGCAGTAAAGCTGCCACAGAGGCAGTCCGAGCTATCTCCCAAGGGTGTACGCATTAGGTCAGCACAATATGAACTGGTTTTGAGGTTGCTGCTGGTTCCTGTATTTCTTCTGCCCCTCGGCCCTCTCCTGCCACCCCCCATGTCCCCTGCTTTAGGGACAACAAAGTAATAAAGAAGGTTTTCCCTAGTTTTTAGTTTCTAGATACTGAGGAAGTATTTAGAACTCAGCTCATGGACAGGATATTTGGGAGAAAAAGTAAAGAGTAAGAGTCAACTCTTCCCCCCACATGAAAAGATTCCATGTGAGGGGGAGGAGAAGTGGATTGGGCTCCATAAGAGTTTGGATCCCAGTGGGTTTCGGGGGATGACTGTGAAACGTGGAAGTGAAGCCAGACAGGAAAATGGTTTGATTGGGGCCAAATGTCATGACTTCAGTCTTCAGGCTCTTCCCCAAAGAGCAAGTTCAGACAGCAAGTGAGACGGCCTGAGGAAGGGCTGGGGGCAGAGGAGGAAAAACAGTAGGGGGCACAACCAGCCTTTTTGATCGAACCCAGAGAAGTGTGTTCATGTGTATATAGATGCGTGTGTGTGTGTGCATGCATGTGTGTGCACCCTGTTTACAGGCACCCATTTCTGGTTTCGGCTCTTGGTGGCAGAGGTGGCAAGGGCCTTAAGCAATAGTCCAGTCTTATTATGAGTGTGTATGCACATGTGTACATGGACTTGTGTACATGTGTGCATGCATGTGTGTGTGTGTATGTGTATGCACACATGCATTTGTGTTGATGTCCTGTATACTTGCATCTGTGTATCCATGTGCTTGTGTGTATGTGTGTCCATACACAGGAGTGCATGTGTACACGTGTTTGTACATGCTCGTGTGTGTGCATGCACATGTATGTATGTACTCGTGTGTGTGTGTGTGTGTGTGTGCCTTCCTGCCCCCATGTCAGCTCAGTACTTCCTTGGCAACCACACAGAATCTGCTAAAGTATCCAGGCACCCTAGACCGGGCTGTCTGCCTAAGGCCATTGCCACCTCTACCACCAAGAGCCGAAATGGGAAAACAGGGAAGGAGGAGGGTCAGAGAGAAGAGAAGGTGCACAGCAGGCACCTAGCAGCAAAACCCCTTGGGGCTCACCTACAAGGTCCAGGTCTCCCCGCAAGCTCTGGGACAGCCAGGTGCTGGTTTTCGCAACAGAGCCCATTACAGACCATGTGGGTAATCTCTTGGGACCAGATGATCCTCGATGACAACACCAGCCATCGGCCCCACACACTTCCGACTGCCCCAGCCCCAGCCCAGCCTCAACCAGGTCCTCTCACCTTCCTTCTGTCGCTTCACCATCCTCCAAGCCAGGAGTGAGGCTGCCACCAAGAGAAGCAGCAACACGGCACAAATGAGGGGAATGAGGATGCTGAGCTCCATGATCTTAGGCCTGGAAACAACAATTGGAGGAATTCCCTGCACCCAGGGCTCACCTCTCAACTCTGGGCCTTATCCACATGGGAGGCACACACCTTATGACTTGCAGGGAATCCCCACTCCCTGGTGCCCTCAAAGATAGTAAACAAGGAGAAGGGGGCTCCACAAGATGGTTTGGATGTGTCTACAAACCTAACAGGCTCCTAACAAGTCTCTCTGCTTCTATACTTGCCCTCTGTTGTGGATTGAATGGTGTCCCCCCAAAAATATGTATTGAAATTCTGGCCTCTATGCCAGTAAATATGATCCTGTTTGGAAATAAGGTTTTCTTTATTATGTTCATTAGTTCACGCTGAGTAGAGTGGGTCCTAAATCTAATCACTTGCGAGTTATAAAAAGAGCAGAACAGACACAGAGACACACACAGGGAGAAGACAGACATCAAGGAACACCGAGCTCACACAGTGCCTGCCAGGTAGATGTTACCTTAGTAAAGGTGAGTTGAAGAAATGCATGAATGGACCAACCCACAAACCTACCAACTGCACTGAGCTCCAGGATGGGAGTCTGCAGGGGCTAGAAAGACACTGTGTGGCCTGAGAGCAAAGGGGATAGGCCCCCTCCCCGTCACCCTCTCAAAGGAGCCTGAGGGTCCGAGGCCAAGCTCCAGTTAGAATCTGGGACAATGAAGAGTTCCCCCATTGGTGCACTTTGGGCCAAGTTGGTCACAGGGAACAGCAGCATCTGAGCTGGCTTACCTGACATCAGAGAGCTGGCTGGTCGTATTAGGGGAGGCTGTGGTCTTTTCTGAGGTGGCTGGTCCTTTAAATGTGGTGTTGGTGGAGGTGATGGTTGTCCACATTGTAGTTGGTGCTTGGCATACAGACAAGATTACATAGCAGTCTGCCTGCTGACTCACCCAGCCCTACACATGACTCTGATCCTGGGGAGGGGCGGTGCCCTGGCCTGAGGAGTCTGGAGCAGGGCTGTGATGAGTGGGCTGCACTCTGGATCTCTCATATCTCCCCAGCCTCTAGGAGCCTCAAGAGCCTCAGAAGCAGGTGGGGTTGACACAGGCGCAGAGAGGACCTTGATCAGGTCCTGGGAGGGCTGTGGGTGGGGGGGCCCAGGAAGAGCCTCAGGACAAAGGTGACTGGAGTTCACTTGGATTTTAAACACTTCCACTGCTTATGACAGCGCCTCAGCCCATGCCTCCCCCCGATCTTATTTATCCAGCAAAGACAGGGTGGAATGGGAGCTTGCCCGGTGCTATCAGCATATCCCCTACATCTGTGACTTCTAAGGTCAGAGCTAGTCCTGAACAAAACCATAATGTTAAGAAGAGCCTTTACCCTGGGCCAGTTCCTAAGCTTCAAGAATGTGGCTTCTCCAGAGTGTTGTGAGGATGAAGTTAGATGAGGTACGAGCTGCACTTTGCAAACTGTAGCATGCCTCATCGGGCAGGTGTGGTTGGGGCTCGGTTGATTGTGGTGCCCCAAGTGTCCCGAGAGCCTGTGCTGCCTGTCCAAGGGTCAGCAGAAGCAGAGCCCAACAGATAAACCTCAGCCAAGGCACTGGGATCTCTAAGATGACCCTCCCAGGAGTGTTCGTTTTCTAGAAGGACTTAGGAAGAAATATTATTAGGTCCAAAGGCATAAATCACTGATGGTGGGATTTCAGACACCAGAAGGGTAGTCATTTGATTGTGGGGGCCTTTCCAGACCTTGGAATTAGAAAACAGCAACCCAGCTGTGCTGGACCTCTGTCTCCCCAGAGGTTGGATATGGGATGGGGGGTGGGAAGAGGCAATGAAGTCCCAGTCCAGAACTCCACAAAGAGCAGCCACACCAGGGGTCCCAAGAAAGCTTGGGCAGGGATTGGGGTCCCTGGCTCCCATGGAAGGGGGTCCCTTTGGCCTATGAGCTGGAATTGAGGACTATCACCTTGTTCTTTATTGGCAAGAGACTAAGCTGTGTAGAGAATGGAATGTTCCCAGAGAGGCTTCATTCCATCCCAGAGGAGCCCTGGGAGCCATGAGAGACCATGTAAGAGAAACCCCTCCCAACCCCAAGCAGACAGTGGGGTTCACTGATACCCCGGGGCTCAACCACCCTCTGCCCTGGCCACAGTTCCGTCACTCAAGAAAGCCTCCGGGACTAGGACAGAGCAGGCACTGAAAGACACAGACACACCCTTACCTGGACCAATTGACACTTTAACCCTGACTCCAGGGTCAATTCCGGTTGTCTCAATCCCACACCAGTAAAAGTCTGCATCGTCTTCCCTGAGCTTCTCCATGGTCACACTGAATGTGCGGTTTTTCTGGCTGTCCCTGATGGACATGTGGTCCTCCTTCACCTCCTGCTCTGATCCATTGGTTTTAAGAAGGATTTCGCAGCTTCCCCAGTCAGCTCCTCGACACCACCACTTGTAGTAGGTCTCCCATCCAGGGTCATAACCACACTGCACAGTCAATGAGCCTCCCTTTGGGCCACTCACTGCACCTGGACCTGACATGGCAGAGCAGCCTGGAAAACACAAATCCATGTACCTGTCACCTCCCATCCTGAGGGAAGGGCCACAGCTTCCTACAGTGGGAATAGCTCCCAAATCCAAACATCTGATAAGTTGAGTAACAGTCAAGGATGGAATATACTTTCCACAAAACAGACCTTTTGTCCTTTGAAATTCCCAAGCAGATGGCCGTGGAGAGGCTTTCCTAATGGTTCGACTGTAGCAAAGCACCTGGAAAGAATGCCTTTGAAGCTGACCAAAACAGTGATGCCACCTGGTCTCCATGCGCCATGGAATCCGTATCACACAGATTCCATTCTCTTCATTACATTATTGCAAGTTCCAGTTTCAAACTTCCTACTAAAAGTGAACTTTTATGACAAAAGCAAACAAAGTTTAGGTGTAAACAGAGCAGCACCTTTGCTATGTCCTCTGGCGTCTTCTAAGACTTCTACTAAGTCTAACAGAGATGATTCAAGCAGGAGTTAAAAGATGAGACACCTGACCTGCCTTATCAGCTCTTCTCTTCGAATAGTCTGGCCTAGAACCAGGCTGGTCTGCAGAACATTTTCAACCTAATCTGTTGCTTGAAGGCAATCAGGGAATGGGAATGCCTTAAATGAGACCTCTGCTGATAAATTCTTTAAATTCAACTGAATTGAAGGGAAGGCCATGTATAGCAATGATAGATTCCAACAATTTGTATCCTCGCAATGAGCAATCACTTTGATTGCTGCAGCACAAGTTTGAGACGGAACTAGTAGTACGTTGCAGCATTTGAAGTAGCTCCGGGAGCAATTCCTGTTGAGGGAGAGGGGGTGTTGTCTTTTGTGCACCAAGAGACTATCAAGGTACTGGTTAAGAGAACGGTCTGTGTGAGGAGGCTTGGGTTTGAATCCTGGCTCCTCCTCTTTCAAGCTCTGTGAACTTGGGCAAATTAACCTCTCTGTGCCTTTGTATCCTATAAACATGGGTGATGATAATAGCATCTATCTCTATGTTAGAGCCTGGTGGCACAACAGTTAAATGTTTGGCTGCTAGCCAATAGGTTGGCAGTTCATACCCACCCAGAGGCTCTGCAGGAAAAAGATCTAGTTATCTGGTCCCATGAAGATTACAACCTAGAAAACCCTATGGGGAGGTTTTACTCTGTCACATAGGGTCGCTATGAGTCGGAATCTACCCAACGGCATACAACAACAGCTCTATATTATTATAATTCGTTGATGATGATGATTTTACCACCACCACCAGTTGCCATCAAGTCAATTCTGACTCATGGTAAGTCCATGTGTTTCAGACTAGAACTGGACATAGATTTTTTTAATGGCTGTGACAGTTCAGATGTAGGTTGCCAGGGCTTTCTTCCAAGGAACCTCTGGGTGGAGTTGAATTGCCAACCTTTTCAGTTAGTAGCCGAGTGTTTCACCATTTGTGCCACCCAAAAGGGCCATTATAACTAAAAAAAAAAAAAAAATTTGTTGCCGTCGACTCGATTCTGACTCATAGCGACCCTATAGGACAGAGGAGAACTGCCCCCATAGGATTTCCAGGCAGTAGCTTCAAACTGCCAACATTCTGATTAGCAATTGAGCTCTTAACCACTGTACCACCAGGGCTCTGGGCCCATTATACTACCTGGCAAATGAAAACTTTAGACTGTAACAGACTCTTGCAAAGCCAGAATTCAAAGTGTTTAGAGCTGGAGAGACTTCATCACAAATAGTACGTGCTCCAACATGGATGAACTTTGAAAACATTACACTAGGTGAAAGAAGGCAGACACAAAAGACCACATATTGTGTGATTCCCTTTTCATAGGAAGTATTCACAATAGGCCAATCTACAGAGACGGAAAGTAGATTACTGATTGTCAGGGGCTGGGTGGAGGAGGGGAAGGGCAGTGACTACTAATGGCCACAAGGTTTCTTTCTGAGGTGATGAAAATGTTCTGGAATTAGAGCTTATAGGGTTGCTATGAGTCAGAATCGACTTGACAGCGATGGGTCTGGGTTTTTTTTTTTTTTTTGTATGGTGGCAAAACTTGTGAATATGCTAAAATTGAGATAAAAATCACATACCATACAACTCACCATGAATTGTATAGTGTGTGAATTACATCTCAGTTGTTGAAAGTGGAGAAAAAGTAAGTTCTTAGCCTTAAACATGCTTTAATTAATTTTAGAAAGGAAGAAAATGATCATAGTAATCAACTTAGCAAAATAAGGGGAAATCACAGATAGTAACACCAAGGAAATAAGAGGAAGAAATTGTACTATGAGAAATTAATAATTTAGAAAATAACAAGAACATTAACGAACTGTATCTCAAAACCATTTCATACAGAAAGAAAGAAGGAGGGAGAGGAGAGGGAAGAGGAAGTGAAGGCAGAAGAGGGGAAAAGAAACAACAATAAAATAGAAAATCTTATGGCGCATGCATTCAATAAAAATGAGACAGCCCGTGTAATCAAAATGAGTTTATTATGATAGACATGTAACATTCCCATTATACAACAATACTTTATAATTGCAGAACTTCATGCTAATACATATTCAATAAAATAGACAACTTTCTCGGGAGAGAAACAACAGCAACAAAATTGATTAAGTAACAAGCAAAAGCCCTGAATACGCCAATAATCAATAATCATGGAAAAAAGCTTAAAGTGATGAAAGAATTTGCTCTAATAAAAGCTCTCCTACCAGATAGTTTTATAGATAATAATTTTTAAGATTCTAAAGAAACAAAAAATCGTTTTTTAAATTTTTGCTCTGATTCTAGAAAATAAAGAAGAAATCTGCCGATTTCATTTTGTGAAATTAATATATCTCTACTGTTAAAGTAACCTGCATGAAGACAGCACAAAGAAGGTGACAGAAAAGAACCCTGCTTATGAACGTAGATCTGGAGTTGAGCACTGACAGCCGGATTCAGCCCGCAGAGCGGGTTGGTGTGGCCTATGCTGTATTGCTGTTGTTTCTAATGAAGCCAGCGTTTAAAAATGAGAAGTTTCACAAAAATCCACATTTCTGTTTTTTCTTGAAAAATTAAAGGATCTGAAGTTACAGAATCCACTTTTTGCATGATACAATGGGCTGAAGTGGGACAGGAGCTGTGCCTTTGGATGGGTCATGTGCTCTCCAGATTGCTGTGGGCCTTACTGCTTCACGGTGTCTCTTTGACAGGTATGTATGTATATCAAATATATATATATATATGTATATATCAGAGAAAATCAACTGATGACTGGACAGTGCTGTTCAACGATGTGGTCAGCAGACCAAAGGAACCTCAAAATTGTCCATGTCTTAATCCCCAGAACCTGTGAATGTTACTTGATGTGGCAAAAGGGACTTTACAGATGTGATTAAATTAAGGCCCTTGAGATGAGATAATCCTGGATTATCCAGGTGGGCCCAATGTAATCCAAAGATCCTTATAAGAAGGAGGCAGGAGAGTCAGAGGGAGAGAAGGAGATATGAGGATGGAAGCACAGGTAGAGTCATGTGGGGCCACCAGCCAAGGAATGTAGGCAGCCTCTGGAAGCCGGAAAAGGCAAGGAAACGGATTCTATCCTAGGGCCTCCAAAAGTAACGTAGGCCTGCTGATCCATTTTAGACTTCTGTAAAATAAAATAATGAATTCGTGTTGTTTAATTTGTTACAGCAGCCACAGGAAACGAATATAGATGGCCATCCCGTTCTTAGATGCACATCCCTTCAGCTCATCTCCCGACAGACTCCTCTGGCCTGAGCATTTGGTATTGGGCCTGACCTTTGAACCATCTGCTCCACCCACTGCCTAGACCCTCTGCCCCAGGTGCCCACTCCCCATGCAGCCTCCTCAGAGCCCCAGTCCCGCCAATGACCCCTCCTGACACAGACAGAAGGAGTCCTGGAGGCACAGTGGTTAAACCGCTTGACTGCTAACCATAAAGTCAGCAGTTCCAACTCACCAACCGCTCCAAGGGAGAAATATGTGGCGGTCTGCTTCCATAAAGATTGACAGGCTTGGAAAACTTATATGGTCACTCTGAGTCGGAATCCACTTGACAGCAGTGGGTTTGGGTTTGGGTTTGGACACAGATGGCTGCCCTGAGAATTACGGAGCATGTTCTCACCAGCAATGATCTCACAGCCTGATGACTCAAGTCATCCTAGGAAGGCGAGCCCCAAAAAGAGGTCGCTGTCTGTGTGTGACAGACTCAGGACTAAAAGCCATCCTTGTTGTTGTTGTTACATGCTGTCCAGTCGGTTCCTACTCATAGTAACCCTATGTACAACAGAACAAAACACTGCCTAGTCCTGCACCATCCTCACAATCGTTATGTTTAAGCCCATTGTTGGCAGCCACTGTGTCAGTCCATCTCAATGGAGGTCTTCCTCTTTTTTGCCGACCCTCTACTTTACCAAGTGTGATGTCCTTCAGGGACTGTTCCCTCCTGATAACATGTCCAAAGTACATGAGATAAAGCCTTGATGCTGGGTTCTTCTTCATATATCCAGTTTCTCAAATCAATTGCTCAGCAATGAGTTTGAATAGGTATGGTGAAAGGATACAACCCTGACACACGCCTTTCCTGACTGTAAACCACGCAGTATCCCCTTGTTCCATTTGAATGACTACCTATCGGTCTATGTACAGGTTCTGCATGAGCACAATGAAGTGTTCTGGAATTCCCATTCTTAGCAATGTTATCCATAATTTGTTATGATCCGTATGGTCAAATGCCTTTTCATGGTCTATAAAACACATACCATACAACTCATCATGAATTGAATAGTGTGTGAATTATATCTCAATTTTTGAAAAGTGGAGAAAAAGTAAGTTCTTAGCCTTAAACATGCTTTAATTGATTTTAGAAAGGAAGGAACTTATCATATTATTCAACTTTCTGGTATTCTCTGCTTTCAGCCAAGATCCATTTGATAGCAGCAGTGATATTCCTCCTTCCACATCCTCTTCTGGATCCGACTTGAATTTCTGGCAGTGTCCTGTCAATGTACTGCTG